CTAGGCAGCATCTCCCCATCGACCTGGTCTCCAGACACCTCTCACCCTGCCATTCCGTGGTATGGGTTTCATTTAACACCTCCACCAGGTCTGCACAGTTGTCACACATCGCTTAACCGCCGCCCTCCATGATAGAAGCCCTTGTGTAGATAACTAGATATATACCTAAAAATTCTCTCCAATAAACTAACAAACTACATGTCTATTACAAAAAGTACACTAGAGTTCTTTACTGTTCCACATGAACAACAACAAAAATAAGCAATAATAAATAACACTATTATAATGGTCATAATTATTTTTAACAGATCATTTTTTTTGTACTAGATACCTGCAAAGAATAATGAAGAACTTGACAAGCAAAATTGACAAGGCTTGTTGTTGTTCCTCTAATCCATCTGCCATTTTCTGAACACACTGTAGCAGCTGGATCCTCAGAACCTGCAGGATATTATCAGGAAGCAGAGATATTCCAGGAGGCACATCATCTACCCTACAATATAAGGAGGACAACAGAAGACTATTTAAATACAGTAAGAAAACTCTCTAGTACTTTAGAGAAATTGCATTTTCTACTTGAATTCTAGAGAAGCTTTTTTTTTTTTTTTTTAAACTCTGTGCCTTCTTTTCTGCAAGGTATCCCAAGCTATTGAACAGGTCATTTTATTAAAAACTATAAAAAACTAGGGCAGCAGAGTTGTTAGCCTTGTTTCAAAGGCAACTTGCTGATAATAAAGAGAGACTCAGTATTTTTTGTCACCTTAACAGAAAATATTTAGAATATAAATGAATGTGTTTTCTATTTACAATTATAATGTGTTTGTGTGTACACATGTATATACATATGTATGTGTGGTGTAGTGAATTCTTCAATGTGATTTAGTATGTCTCTTCTAGCATTAGTCTTTGTAACTCCCACCAAACGACTCTTCTCCTGATTGTAAGAGAAGGTGGGAGAAGATACTAATAGAATGACATGATTCAGCTGTGGATGTTAACACAGTTAATTGTAATTTTAAAAACTTGAAACTCTAACATGAGTCCACAATGAATCATATCAAAAGCAGGAAGGAGGTGGAGCTCACTACCATCAAAGAGGAAGACACAGGAGAGGAGCTCATCCTTTGGACCCTGAAATCTCTGTGCATTGAAATCTCCTCAACTTAGAGAAAGGTATAATATAAGAGGAGTGGCAGAGCAGCAGCAACAGAACAAAGAGCCAGAGCATGAGACAACGCAGTGGGCTTCCCAGTCCATAGTGTAACTAAAGTTGAGCGACTGTAAGCAGAAGATTTGCTTGCAGAGTGAAGTGCCCGTCGGCATTTAATTGAAGGAGCTAGGTTTGCTGATCCATGGAGCTAGAATCATTATAAGTCTCACCTCCAACTTATGTTGGAGTGGCCTGTGGGCATTTATTGGCAGTCCTAAAAGAGCTTTACAAAATTGCCCAGGTAGGTAGAGGCCTACCTATGAAAATGGTTGAGTAGAGGCTGTTCTGACTGAATGAATTGAGCATTTCTGCCCCTGAACTACAGTATCCAGTTAACTTCACTAATAAATCCTATACCTGTGAGTATGGTTTCTGAACTCTATGTGACCACTGCAATGAACTACTGAACCTAGCTGAATAGAAAGTGCTATGGGAGGCATGGTTTGGTGTCATTTTTTGATGTGTACACACCATTTATAAATGAAATAAAAACCTTGCAAGGGACACAAAGGAACATTGGGAAATATGATTAAAAAAAGCTTGTAAGCCCGCCTTTAGCCTATAACTGATTTGAATACCTAAAAGGGGTTAGAGACCTTGTCCAGTGAAACAGGCTTCATGATGAGCCTTTGTAGTGTATAGGATTTAGGTGGAATCCTGAGCCCCATCCAGAATCTTCTGAGGTGGGACATTTCCATTTGAAAGGACATGCAGACCAACATGGAGCAGCAAGAGTAACAGAAGATACTTGTGGAAAGAAAGACCAGCAGGAAAAATCAAAAACAAAAATGGCAGTCTGAATGGCTACTACAAGAACAAGCAAGTTGTCTGCCATGGAGCCATCAAAGCAAGCAATCAAGTCCCTTCAGGACAAACCCTCTTCCGAGACTGAAACGCAAAGGAAACACATGAGCAGGCATGTAAGCTTGCTAGCAACCACGTTGGTCTACTGGTGAGTGGAAGTGGGGGAAAGTCAGTAATGAAGATATGGGTTGAGTTTGACCATGTTCCATAGACAGCCATCGACCTAGAGATGAGAGAGAGAAGAGGAAGGGCTTGTTGGTCCAAAGTATGGCGAGACCTGGGGACTAGTAAGCCCAAGAAAAAGGACCTAGCCACAGAGGGCTAGAACTGAGAGTGAAGTGTCCAGCTAATATGAAGTGAGGGGAGACACACAAGACTGCCCAAACTTGCATACAGCACCCATTTTACCTAGCTTCAATGGTTTTACGATCAGAACTCAACTAGAGGAAGATAAAGAACTTTGATAAAGGACACAAGTGTAAATTGGAACAATTTGATGAACTTGACCTATACTTATAGACAGAGTAGTTCAAAATGCCAGCTGAGAGGGGAAGAGTCTTCACATCAAAGATCAAACCTACCACTTACCTACACAGAGTTGATAAGGACGGGTTACCTAAAATGGGGTCACTATAAAGTCATGAAGTGACTGACTTACAAGTTTACAAGAGAGAGTTTAGTTTCAGAATGTACATGGGAAGGTAGAATCCCCACTAAATAGTTTCCATCTTGTCTATATGGATCTGGTGAAAGGAGATGGGGATAAGATTCTTGTGATTCAATACTGAATATATCATGACTAACTGCAATTGTCACAACTGTAAAGGTAGAAATTTTGTAACATAAGGGGGGGAGTAGTTAATCTTACAGTCCAGGAACAGCAAAGGAGAAGAGCATGAGCAGAACATGGGACCCTATCCAGAGAAGTAGCGACACCAGAGATGGAGGCAGAAGTGATGGCAAGGAGAGATAGAGTAGCTGAGGTCTCTAGACTCATGGAAAGAGAAAGGCTGTGTGCTGGCAGACAGGATGTGACCTTGCAGAATGTGG